ATTCTCGCTGGATAGTCTTCATCGTAAACGTCCTGACGCCTAAGGTCTAGGACTTTTTGAGGGCCAGCTCCCTCTGGGGAAGTACGGGGTACACCGCATTACACGGTGCCCGTCTCTCCTCAGTGCCCTCAGGAGGTCGGTTTGCCAACCCTGCCGTGTTCCAGGGTGCAGCGGTCTCCGGCGAGCGCTTCTCTCAGTTACCGCCCGGAAACGTAGCGGTACTAAGAGGCTCGCTACCTCTACGGAGGTCTCTAGAGCAGCTAGTACGGTCATCCCCTGCCAGTCCACCGCTTCAGGGCACCGAGCTAGCTGCTCTGGGCGCACCAGAGGCCAGTCTCACGAGACTGGTTCCCTTAGGAGGTCACCTGGCGGTGTGGGAGCCCCTGCCAAGTGTGCTTCATTGGGTCCTGCCCCGAGCAGGCTCTGGTCTAGTCTTCCTAACAGACGACGGGGGTCTGAGGGCCGTCGTTTTCAATAGGAGACTTCAGCTATGAGAGTCCTGATGCTGTGGCTCAGGACCTCGGAGGGCAGGCCCCTCTGGGGAAGAGCGGTGTACACCGCATTACACGGTGCCCGTCTCTCCTCAGTGCCCTCAGGAGGTCGGTCTGCCAACCCTGCCGTGTTCCAGGGCGCAGCGGTCTCCGGCGAGCGCTCTCTCAGTTACCGCCCGGAAACGTAGCGGTACTAAGAGGCTTGCTACCTCTACGGAGGTATTTAGAGGGGCTGTGGTCTAGTCTTCCTAGCAGACGACGTGGGTCTGAGGGCCGTCGTTTTCAATAGGAGACTTCAGCTATGAGAGTCCTGATGCTGTGGCTCAGGACCTCGGAGGGCAGGCCCCTCTGGGGAAGAGAGGTTCACACCGCATTACATGGTGCCCGTCTCTCCTCAGTGCCCTCAGGAGGTCGGCTTGCCAACGGTTCTCCTCCGCCTCAATTCAATGGGGCCTTTCCCACCCTGGTGGGCCCCGAGCAGGCTCTGGTAATGGAACAGAAGTAGACACTCTCTAAGGATGGAGGCCATCGAGGTGGTCCCTCCTCGCGCAGCAGAGTCCGGGTCCTACAGCCGGTACTTCACCGTTCCGAGGAAGGATGAAGGGCATCCTTCCTCATCATAGGAAGTTCCTGAGGTTTGCTTTGGGGGGCAAAATCCTACCAATACTGGTTCTTCCTTTGGCTTTGCACTCTCACCCCACACCTTCAAGACTCAACCACATCGACGATTGGTTGATATTAGCTCAATCAGAGCGGTCGCTACGTCACCCCGCCCGTGACGTCTCACCCATCCATTGGACTGATTACACATGTGATTCAGAGCGTGGTCACGCTGGAGGCGTTCCCGTAGCGTTTCGATGCAGCGTCTCGTTCCCTTCGGGGAACCATGGTTACATACGTAACCTGGAGACGATTTCCAGGATCAGGATGGAGCCCTCCTGACAACAGACCGAGCTTAGGGGTGGCAGGGCTGATTGTGAATAATACAGAAACTCGTGATACATTTATGCTATCAATCTAATAATGATGCTGCAAGTGACAAAATGACATGCGCATAGTAAAATAATTTTGTTATCATGAGGACAAAATTATATATTTTCAGTAGAAAATTTGGCAAAACATTTTAATGGCTGGTAAGAAATATTTATGATTTAAATTTCAATATAAAATTTGATGGTTCCCACTGCCAAATCTTTGCCCCGAGCACAAAAGTAAGGTCATACTTTGTTCTTGACTTAGGTCTACCACAATTATAAATGAAAGGAGAATTTGGACGTATAATACAAATATCCATAAAATTGATTACCTGCTAGTTAAGAAAGGTCAGTGTACCTTAAAATCTATTCTAGCCCTTGGAATTACATAATTCTGTTCTTCCACAAGCTCTTATTATGTAAGAATTAGGCAAGTGTGTTTGTGGCTGTGCATGTGGAGGATTCAGACATTAAATATGAATGGAAGTGAATATGCAGTCTGCATCAAAAGCAGTTTGTGAGCAGGTTGTGAGGTCACATGCTTTGAATTTGTCATTTGAGTGTAATATAACAACGATTTTGCATTGGCTGTTCAATCTGACGAAAGAATGACAAATAATGATGCCTACTGATAGCGTCATTTAGTTGCACTTATTTGCAGTAGGCATAGATTTAACACTTGATTAATAAAGGAATTATGCAATTAAGATCAAATTTACTGCTGAACGCAGTTTACACAACGCAAGTTCCCCATCCTGCAGCTTGGTTGTGGAGGATACAGAAGACTACTGCAATCTGACATAGTTTACTGGAACTTTACAACCTTAAAACCTGCGATTCAGACACCTGAATCAACTCTTTTATATGATGAAAATGTGCTTGACTATACCATTTGATTATTTATATAGCTGTTCTCCATTTTTTAACTGCTGCCATGATCAGTGGAAAATGGACACAATGACATCTTCTTTTAATAAAATTCTGCTTACCGCCTACATTTCTCTGGCAATAACAGCACAGTGTTAACCGCACATGGCAAATACTGCTTAGCTTTGTAAACAGAAAGTTTTTGTGCTGAAATAACGTATGCAAAATTGGCAAAACTTCAGTGAAATCGCCCCTGAACGCGCAAAAAAGTGTCTAAGAGTAAAACAATTACCGATGAAAAGCGGATCTGCTGAATTAGACTACATTAAGCTAAAGGGAAGGGAAGTTCTCCCCAAATGCAACATTAAATTCCTTTTACTCTTTTATGAGGAATCTAAAAAGGTGACTGTTTCCCTTCAGATTCCGTCTCCGGAGTGACAACCCTGTGGTTCAAATGGAACAATCCAGAAATCCACTCTACATCGACTAAAAGCCAGGCCCTGCTCTCCTGTGGTGCTGTACGTGTCTGTGAGTTCACTGCGGGGCTACTGTTACCCCGCCTCTCAGCCTGCAGTGATGGAGGAGCAGGGGCTTGTACTTGTGAGGTCACTCCAGAGTGTTTTCCGATGCTGCCCAGACATGCTCTAAACTCCACGTGCTCCAGGTGCAGAGATATAACACTCTCCGCGTGAAGAACGCTACAAAGTTACAAGTACAGACAGCGGAGGGCTAGCGTATCCATCACTGAGGCTGCGGCCTAAAAGCAACCGAAATAAGCTGCTCCCTATATTCTGAAAACCAGTTTCCATTCAATCTACCATCATTTTGTTAATTTCAGAATTTTCTGTGTCCATAAAATACTTATTCTATTCCACTATTATTCCACCACTATATCCACTATACTATTCCACCCAAAAATGAGGGTAATGAGGTTCCAAACCTGTATGACTTACTTTCTTCTCTGGAACACAAAAGAAGATATTTTGATATATGTTTTTGTCTATAAAATTAAAGTGCGCTAAAAAATGGGTTTAGAAACAATTTTCACTGAGAAATTGCTAGTAAATTTCAGCAAGTAACACACTGATGTACAAAAACTGAAATAGTATTGTTTTATTTACAACTTCAAAAAAATGATTTTATACAATGTAAATTGGGTGCAAAACAGCATTGGACCCCACACATTCTTCCTTTAACAAAATATCTTCTTTTGTGTTCTTATCACTTTTAAATGCTAAAGTAAAAACTGTTCACAAAAAGACTTGAACTCTAAGCCTAACGCAAGTCCATGGGTAGTAGTCCACTGTGAAGTCAAACATGGGGCGCTAGTGAGCACACTTCCAAATCATAAAATGACCACTGGGTCACCCTAATGACCAGTTGCACACTTGATGTGAAGCCATTAAGGACAGTCATTTTGTGTTCTTAAACAAGAGAACGTTGGTAACATTACCATGTTTAAGAACCCAAGCTGAACTACGCTTGAATAAAGAATCACTTTTCAAACCGTCTTTACCACATTCAAACCACCAAAGGGCATGAAAATTCTTTCAATTTCATCCAAGATATAAACACATGAATAATATCTATGTCGATCTCTAATTCATGGACAACTGCCAAGGCCAAATAGCTTTTTCAAGGGCGATTTGTGAGGAGAACTGTTTGACGGTGGAGAATGGTAGCAAACTTACATCGTCCCTCTGTGTTATTTGGTATATAAATACAATGTACAGCAAACACCTGCAGTGTGCAGCCTTCTTTCAATAGCCTTAATCATGCCAGTCAGCGCTCAAGCACGCACAGAAACCCGGCAGGAAGGACCTCTGGCCGACATCCAATATAAAAGCAGTTTTTACATCCAATAGCAAGTTGCTAAATAGCCTTTTCAACACAGCAGTTAAGACAGCATACAACTGATCTGAATCATTACTACCTTGAAGCCTTCACTTAAAACACAGCGCTCTGTTTGTACATGAGCAATTGCCATGAATGTCCATGATAAAGAAAAGGAAAGTCCTTAAAAAAGTACTCATTGTATTCATACTGGTTTCGATAAACTATCATTTTCAATTAAATTTTAGATATAATGACTTTAAAAATTTAATTTTGTTACATTTTTCTTTAATACATGCTAGTATAATCTTAATGAATATTTTCAGATACGCTTTTAAATATTTTTCGAGGTAAAATTTTTTTTTTTTTTTGGCAAATATCATGAATTATTAATGAATAAAAAAAAGGTATTCAGAAACTAATTTATAATATGTTTCTGAGGAGTCACACCGCATGACATTTTAAAACCTGAACTAACCCTAACTAATCATAAAAAGCTCAAATTATGCAATTTTTTAAGAGAGCCTAATCTTGACATATCATATCATGGGCTAATGACATGAAGGTAATTTTTACCTTTATGTTGATTTTTTTTTTTTAAAACATTGGAAAAATGAAAAATGCAATTCATACATTTAAATACATTTTACAAGTGTGTGTATATGATGTATGTATATATGTATCTATCTATATATATATATATATATATATGTAAATGTGTGAAGTGAGTTTTTATTGTTTTTATGTTTTAAAAAATAACCATCATGTCATTAACCCATTCCACTGGATAAACATCATGCAGTAATGCTTTATTATGAGAGAGTAAATAACTTACCAGGCCATCGCAATTGCTGATAGCCACTGATGTATCCTGCACATTGGTAACATAACCCACATATAAACAGTCACTGGGCAACAAGGGCTCAGAGTGGGTTTGGTTATCGTCCTCAAGCCACTCCACTTTGGCTCCAGGGGCCACAAGCCTGGAATTTAGCCTGAGGCGAAGATGAAGCTCCTGTCCGAAAACAGTGACGTTATAAAAGAGTGTCTCCTTGTGCCTCAGGTGGTCCTGTTCTGAGTTCGTCTCCTCACTGGTCTCTCCATGATGGTTGGCCTGCCTCCTCCTGCGCCGGTGGGACCCCTGCCCACTCAACTGGCTGGTAGAGATGGCGTGGGAGAGGAAGCGTCCGTCTGCATCCACGCTCACCGGCCTCACTAGCCCGTATTCCCTCAGGACATGCTGCAGGGAATCTGCCAGGGGCACGCACACAGTTACACACATTCAAATGTGCACACACCCGCACGCAAACACAAAGTCAATAGATTTCACAGTGCACACCAGAAGCTTCCAGCAACAGTCAAAACTCCACCAATCTCTAAATCAGCTGCAAGACTTACATTATGCAGACAGTACAGCTGTCCAAAAAAAAGTTCAAGTTTAAAAGTTATTAGAAGTAAGAAAAATCTATGGAAACACTGCACTGAGTAGAAGGGTGTACCTTTTGTCACCTTTTGCTTAAAGGGGTCATATGATGTTGCTAAAAAGAACACTGCTGTTCCTGAAACCACGCTTTCTTTCTTTGCGTGCACATTTGGGCGGTGTTATGCAAATCTTCCCACATTGTGATGTAGACATGTGGGGGCGTGTTTAAACGAGGCGTTTTAGGAGGGCATGGACAAGTCTTAACTTTTATAAAGAATAACTCTTTGGATTTGAGACTTTAGTCTTTGCAACTTTACAGATCTTCTTTATGCACCAAGAGCTTGTAACACTCCAAAGAGAAAGGAAAAATTGAAATCGCATCATATGACCCCTTTAAATTGTCCTCTAGACAAGGAGAAATAAGACACATGTAAAACTAATACATTTAACTATATTTCAGGATGTCTTCTATCACCTATAACATAGGGACAGAGGAAAAAAGTGGTTTAACAAAAAAAAAAAAATCATAATAATAATAATATTTTTTTGGTGATACAATCTGCCCCTTGGATTTTAATTGAAACACTGAATGTGAAACAAAGAAAATAATAACAACAATAATAATAATAATAATAACAATCTATTTGGATTACAGAGTTGCATTTTGCTTCACATTATTCTAAGACAGCATTAATCAGCCATTAATTTAAATTAATATTTAATTATAAATATAATAATTAATTTCAAATTAAAAATGACTTAAAACTGGTTAAATTCTTGATTGAAAAAAGTTTTAAAAAATACCCTCATTGTACTGAACAAACTTCAACCATCATGGTTGTGAAGAAATGTGAAATGTTGCTTCCTTGCAGTTCCCCAAACTTTGAGTGACAGCTATATATAGCAATATATTTAGCACTCATAAATTCAGTTCAGTTCAGTTGGTGACACATTTTACCCCAAAGCATCTGATACACCTCCCCCCCCACACACACACAAAAAAATTTACATTGGCAATTATCCAAAATGTATATGATTTTTAGATATGCATGCATTTCCTTGAGAGTACACCTGCCATGTAGAACATTCATTTTGACATGCAAAATAAATAAATAAATAAATAGGCTAAACTAAAAAAATTAACTTTTCTAATGTGAATATAACCACCAATATGGTCACAGGACAAGAACTGTGCATTTTTTTTAGATTAAGGGGGCGACACATCTTACCCTATTCTCCCAAACAATGTGTCATGCATTCCTATCATACTGATGAGAGAAGCAGCAACACATTAGGCTGCTCTGTTTATGCATCCTATGCATAAGTGTCCTTCACTTGATCAGGAAAGAGCAGCTTACAGGAAAGTCAACACTATAATATGATTTGTCTGATCTAATTTGACAGTAAAATAATGTGCATGCTGCTTTTGTATAATTTACTCTTCTGTGTACTCATCTTGACAGTAATGTCGGCATTTTGCGACAGTTATTTCAAGCAGGAGACACTAGATCCATCAGCTTTTTTACATTATTGACATGTCCCATGGATTTTTGCGCTTCCTCTGTGTATCAACACGATAAGCTTAAGTATAATACAATGCATATACTGTATAATGACGTTCTTTTTATTGTAACAAAAGTTAGAGATCTTTCAGTTTAGATGCCATGAAAACTTCCAGACACTGTCTCAAATTCAATGAAAATGTCGCTGACAGTAAAAATCTGTTACTCTTAAAACTAATTCATCTCTATAAAAGTGTAAGTTGATGAAACATAGAAACATAGTTGCTGCTTCATAACGCTGGACATCTGAACGCATCCGTATCTCCTGCATAAAGTAACCGTGATCTGTATTGACAATAAAAACATCTCCACCTACCTATACTGTTGGCGATGTAAAGAGTATCCGCGTGCTGAATGTGAAGGAAAATAATGAAGAATGCACATCCAGGAGTAACATCCATGGCAGGTCCGCGGAGAGGGGAGAGCGCACGGGCAAAAGGCGGACTTTGAGATCTCAGATAAGCGATCCAGCAGCGAACGCTGCCCCCTCCTTTCCCCTCCCCTTCCAGACTGACTGAAAAGTGCACTGGGGATGATAGGCTCTCATTCTCACCCTCCCTGTCCAGCCAGCCCCCTCTCCTCTTCCATAGTCCACACTAAGCGTGAATGCAGATCCTCTCATGACAACAGAAGACCACCAGCGTGATCTTCTGTTCTCATCAACATAATCAGGGAACACCAGTCTCATGGTTCTTGTGATGCACTGCTATATGAAAACCGCTATACTCGCACTTCAGAGTCAGAATCAAGTTTATTTATCTAAAAAGTTTAATAAGTTAAATAGACGCATCCAATAACCACGTAGTAGACAGGAGAGATACGAGGTGAATAATATGGGGTATATAGCTACAGTATAGGCTATAAAAATAAAAAATAAATAGTGTTTGAGTATTGTATTAAAACGTATTTTCCCTAAAGTTTTACACACAAAGAAATGAGTCACTGTATACTCATAGTAGAAGGCAATCATGTCAGTCTTCTAGATTCCAGAAAAAAGTTGTTTTTCTACATGGAGCGGGTCGCCCCCTCATGGGCACCGCCATGTTTGCATCACATGACCAGCCATGCCACGTAATGGACAGAAAATAATACTTTTGAATAATAATAATAATAATAATAATAGCCTAATATTACCTTTGTCTACAAATCACATGCATAAACGTAGCTTACATCTAAACAACCCAAACTCAAATCCTTCACACTGACTGTTCTAAGCAGACAGGGAAATATATACTGTTTCATGATTTTAAGAGATTTAGGCACTAAGAAAGCATCAATATAATTAAATATTCGATTCATATTCATATTGCTTGCAAAAAAAAAAAAAAAGTGATATGTAACAATGGCTACTTTACATGGCCATAAATTAAGAAACAGGCTTTTTTCTTCCCTAATAGTGCACTTACGGCAGTGGTGTATAAAGTAGCTGAAAGCGATACTCAAGTAAAAGTACAGATATCTTACCAGAAAATGACTTTGGTAGAAGTTGAAGTCACCATTTAAAATATTACTTGAGTAAAAGTCTTAAAGTATGTGATATTTATTGTACTTAAGTACGAAAAGTATTTTTTAAAATCTTAAACGTACTTAAGTATTGAAAGCAAAAGTACAAGTAAATGCAAAATGGAAAAGAAACAAATAAATATATATATTAAAAACATTTCATACACAGCTTGAGTAGCAAGATTGTGTTCAGTTTTAACTCTTTCTTCCATTTAGTATTTTTGGGTAAGAATAAGAAGCACTTTATCCGGTACTTAGTGTCTTTTGTTCCAACATAAGAAATAATTTCTGGAATCTGCATCTGAAATGGCATTTAGCCTACAGTTTAATGTATCTCAGAGGGGACATGGATGCATTTAAACTGCAGTTACAGCCTAATGTTTTGTTTTTAACATAAAACATTGGAATACTGATATTTGAAATCATTTAAAACAT